AAAAAGAATGAACTGACATGATGAAAAACCAACTCGCAACTCGCAGCTGACAACTCGCAGCTGACTACTCGCAACTCGCAGCTGACAACTCGCAACTGACAACTCGCAACTCGCAAAATATAATCCCTCGTGAAATTTGTAATTGTAGTTTTAGTTTAATTGAAACTGAAAGGTTATGTTGTTTGTGATGATGATTTTTTAATATCCAGAAAAATTTAAACTATAATCTATTTGTTGTTTGGAAATACGTCTTCATATTTTCACCCTCATATACACAAAGGTATTCATTCATAAGGTGCATCTTTAAAGTATTAAGCGATAAGCCCCAAAGCGTACTTCATTGGCACGCAATACAGCTTGAATGCTTCACGAACACTTCAAATCAAACATTCCAGTACTGTTCGTGTATTGCACTATCTTCGCTATTCAAAATTTTCAAAGTATGGCCTTTTATGTGAAAACTAGCCAAGAATTCTTTGAAACTTTAGCCAGAAGTAAACCGCCATTCTCTGATTCATTGTCTTTGAACGTGCAGCGGTATTTTTTCTGTCGCTAAAAGTATCGTCCCTTTTTTCTGTGGGTAAAGAATCTTATCGAATTAGCCTCTAAGCATTGACTTGGCCTGGTGCCTTAGGGAATGTTCTAAAGATAGTTTCATGTTTATTCATCATTTCTGACGTATTTCGCGCTGGTAAAATTTCTCGTATCAGTGATAGTTTCGAATTTGCGGCGTTACTGTGAAGGCTTTTCAACACTGATTTACATCATTGCGTTCCAAGATGAACTTCATCAAAATTAAACTATTTGCTTTGATAACCCCTGAACTAGCCTGTGCGCAGGCTACCCTTGAATCCTACACAAAGAATGCAGAAATTACCAAATGAGCTCCGATGCTTGACGTCTGCATCCCCCGTAGCCAACCTACGTTTATGAAGGGCTCAAGCACATCACTTCGTACGGACGTACGGAGCTCTTAAAGTAACTAACGTTTCTTTGTTTCTTTTTTATTTTTTAACTCCCACAAACTAAAATTCCTCTGTCCGTTGATTAAGTCATATATCCATGTTTGGCCGCCCACTTTAACCTTACAATCGCTAAGGGGAGATTTGTAATTCTATCCGGTCGTCATTCAAACAGTAAGACGCAGTGAATTTTGCATGAATTAGTTCATTTGGAAGTGGTCTTATAGAATCCCACTACGTGGAGCTAACACGTACTTGCTGGCAGCCTTGAGCCCTGAAGGTTAAAGGTGATTCTAAGCTTGCTAAGTAATTGATTACTGCTATTTGACCAATGTCATGTCTCTACAACGGGTTTCAGTTTCGACATTCGAAGTAACCATTGAAAAAGTGAATGGTTTCTTAAGTTAAAGGCAGTGCGCCCGTCCAGGAGAAACACGTCAAGGTGGTGCAGCTACAATAAATATATCGTAGCTCGACCAATGTACAAGTAGCTTGGTTTAAACCTATCAAATCACTCAATTACGCAACTTAAATCTTCATCGATGCCCTGCACTTTGATAAATTACCGTAAAAATCGAGCACACTTCCTTTCCACAAACCAAAACAAGATTTGTTTATTCCTCAAAAATTTCTGGAAGCAGATTTCATTACAACGGGCCTTTTTCACAAAGAGCCAAAACAATGCTACGGAAGAGCTCATCAGGTTACTTTTAAAAAAATGGTAGCTATAATCTCAAGCTCATTTCTATGAAAAGCTAGTCTTGATATATTTTCTTTAAAAGCATCCGCTTTTTAGTAAGTAACGTTTGATCTTTGAAATATAACAAATTGTATAAGATTCATCCAAACTAATTATTTCATAATTGTTACCCTTAGCTTTAATTAACATCATTTGATATTGTACGACCTTTTCATTGTTATTTTCCTTTGTAGATTACGCATAAAATCGCTTTATGTTTTGCTTACTTGCCTTTTCAATATTCTGTTATGAATGAGTTGGTAACTAAGAGCCAAACCCTCAACTTGGCCTTCTGACGAAGTAACTTCTAGCTTAACATGCTTGAATATATCACGCTACGATTTTTATTCAAATACTTCGAAATAAAAATAGTCAGAAACTCTTAATAAAGCAATTACAATAGAACGTCTTAAAATATAATATAGCAAGTCGGCAAACAGTCTTATCTTGCTAATAAAATGAAAAGGAATTTAAAGTTTCAAGGTAAAAATGGACAATTGATATTGACGGCTTAAGGTGTGGCATGTAAGCCGGCTTGCGAGAATGATTTCTTTCATGAAAAAAATGCTATTTGTTTTGTCAACAAAGTTAATCCTAAAAATCTTTGCTCCTACGGTTTTCTGCTTCAAAAACACTTAATACCAATCATGCCATTTTTCAACTGCGAGAGAGGAGTCTGCTGCACGTTTTTACATTGATTGCATCTTCATATGGGGGTGGAAAGCGGTATATGACAAGGCAGCTTTAAGCATCAGGTGATTTATGCATGATCTTTGCGACCCAAATCTTAGCAATTACACAATGAGATAGAATACCTGTGCATCCGTGCATTTGTTAAGTTGATTGACTTTGGATTTGCAGCTATGTTCTTTAGGAGGTATTGAGATCAGTGTACTTGGACACCAGAATTGCCAAGGAGTCCCCTTGCTACACCTAAAACCCACGAGAGAGAGGGGGGGGGGGACTCATAATGAATTTAATCAATTTTAGCATCTAATAATTCATTTGCACCGTAATGGTTTGATACATAGTATGAAGAATTAATTAAGGACTCTTATCGTTGATGAGAGTTAAGTCTTGTTATTAATGACAGTTAATCCAAGATGATTCATATGTTTGAATAGTCCTTTTGGTAATTGATTCTAGGCGTGTCATAACACTTTGGGATGATAGTAGCAACAAAATAACATCACTGGAAAACAGGTGAAAATGCGCCATTATGACTTTAAAAGATTGATTTTAGTACTACAGTCATTCAAGACTTAAAAAATTAATCACCGTTGGCAGACTTGCCGACTTCTTTTGAACTTAGATAACCTCTGCTCGTAGTCGTACAAACAAATGCTGCTCGGAATTTTGTTTGTCAGGTGTTTTGAAAAAACTGTCAGGAAAAAGTTTTTGCAAATCAATCTGCCATGAATATTATCACATCCTATATTTAATGTTGCCAAAGACACCACTTGTAGAAAACAAATTCCGATAATACCTTTGAAAAGTTTTTCCACTCAAGAGAAAAACACGCAAGTCTCTAATCCGTGTCCAGGGGGAGAAACAAAGTAACCTTCAGACCTGCTCCAACACTCCAACAGTCCATACACTCCAACAGGGTCGTCGGTGTTCATTTCGAACTTTTTAGTAACATATCATATTCCTATAGTTTGTGCTGAGTTCACAATAGATGTAATGCGGGGAACCCCTAGGGGCAGAGCAAAGCCCCTTTTTGACACAGAAAGTAAAAGGATATATACAGATTTTTATATGCAACATATCTTTGAAAAACTTTAGTCTTGTAAAAAGTTGTTTTAAATTAAATCAGATTGAGCTTAGGATGAAACATGTCATACTTAAGAAGCGACTTCTGCTTTTGTGACGCGATAGTGGACATGAAAACCAACATTAACCATTTGTCATTGACTAATCTTAGCGAAACGCCCTGCTTTTTAATATAGCTACAATAATTGTTGTTTTCGGGTGTGACGAGGCTGAAATCTGGGACTGAGTAAAACTTAAACCCCTTATAATATCGACAGCTTTAGCCTGTGCCATGAGTGGATGTGTCAATTCATTTGTTTTGCTAGAGAAATTGGTGACAAAAAAAAAATGATGCATCTGCTTGTAATGTCATTGTAAATATTTAAGTCAACAGAAATGATGAGTAGAGTAAAAATTTAAGAGGATAAGGAAGACCTTTTGTCAAAAGTATTCGTTTTGTAAGCAAAAAGACCGATAGGGACATTACGATAATGACATTTTCATTTAAAGCATTTGTCATTACAATGTGTGTCACTACAAACCGTCATTACACAACCTAACCTGATTTAGAAAATAATGACAAAAATCACCTAAATAATGAAACCATTTAAACCCATGGAAAATTTATCCTGGTTGGATTCTCCTACAAAAGGTCCATATAAAGGGACATTATTCAAAAACTAGATTTCAAAATTATTTTACTTTACAGAATCAGCAAAAGAGAAATTTCGTAAACAAAAAAGGTTTTCGTGTTTTTATCAATATATTTAAAGCTTTGAGTCACTAGATAACATTTGGGTAAATTCTTCAGAACTATTTAAGCATTTAGTAAAATATGTGTTCAAGAAAAGTATTTATAGGGACTGTAACATGGATTCTTTTCTATCGTATCAGTATTGTTATATTAACATGATTGAATATCTTACAATGAGATGTGAGATTATATCATATAATGTAAAGTAAGAAAATATGATAACATATGATTTAACATGCTAGTTTCAAAAATAGATCGATACACATCATGCCATAAAATTATATTTGAAATTAAATTATATTCTACTATAGAATATAATGATATGATATAATAAAATATTATTTAATTTAATACCATATAACATAATTTGTAAAGTGTTCCATAAAGTTATGTTTTATACTTTAGTAAAGTATAATTTCATTTGATATATAATATAATGGCATGATATGTTTTGATCTATATTTTTCATCTATATTTTTCTATATTCATCGCACTTTTCTTGTCTTTTTTTATTTGGCAAACTTTTCATTTTGTATTAAACACCGCCTTCTGAACAACGCAGCCCTCTGATAAACGCCGTCCTCTATTGAACGCCGCATCAAAAATTGGGATTTTGTAATAAACGCCGCGGCTCTCTTTACAAGAAATGCGGCAGCCGTCTTTCTTACATGTTCTGACTAATATCTTAAATAGTGTTAAAGTTGCCAAGGCTTTTGGATGACAACTGTCGTACCACTGTCGTTTGTTATAAATGTTTGAATAAGGAACAAACTCAAACAGGAAGAAACCCCCCGGATATGTATTTGAACGGCCACCGTCGCATGACGGCGGACGTTTGTAATCCGCCAAGAATATCTTTGCAATATCGTGACGTCATGATAGTTGGCATGATCCCTGCTTGCGTTGTTTCGTGTATAAATAAGCTCCAACTTCGAGAAAACAGTAAGAAAAACTTTGCCACGCGACTTTACAAGTTGAACTTTCAAAGGAAAAGATTTCCCAAGCGGACACAAGAGAGCGTCAATTCAAGAACACAAGAATGAGAGAAGTTAGCCACTTTTTTGCAGTCATTTTGTCAGTTTTGCTGTTTGGTTCAAATCCAAGTGCTTTACCAATGAATTTTGATATAGACCAAGGCGCATCTTCAAATGCAATGGTAAGTTTAATCAAGGGTTTTATTGAATGCCCTTACCCATACCACTCTCTCTCTTTCTCTCTCTCTCTCTTTTTCTCTCTCTCTCTCTCTCTCTCTCTCTCTCTCTTTTCTCTCTCATTCGGTTTGTTGTTTTCAGGATATTAAATAATTTTCTCGCTATTGTGCACGAATAAGATTATTTTTGATATAATGAGCGATCCTTTGTGTAGTTTTACTTAAATACCCTGCTACATCTTGTCCTGCAAATCTCCTTTCGCATTCAACTTGTCTTGTCAGCCTTTCAAGTTTTAAATTTAACTCAAAAGCCAAATAATCGTTTAAAGGCATTTTTAAAATGTGTAAGCGATGCTTTCCTATCTGACCTTTGCTATCGTTTTACATTCCCGTTTCATTAACGGAAAAGAATCATGATTTCATTTGGAATTATATCTATCCGCAAGACAAGGAACTTAGATTTATGGCAATCAAAGCCAAACAAATCGTTGTGCCACGGAAAATAAGGAAACCCAAGACCTTTTCAAACTATGAAAAATCCAAATTTTTCTGTAGAGCCTGATTTGGAAAATGCATTTGTGACGTCACGGGGTTCCGCTTTTTAGTTAGGCGTGACAAAAGAAAGACTTCCGATTTTGTTTGTTTGCTATTTTGTTCTATCTTTTCTAGCTTGAGGCGCAATCTTAAAAGGATTCGCATTAGTTTTTAATCATATTCACGATCATAGAAAGAGATTCCTTTATTGTGTCTCGATCTATGCATTGTTTTCGCCACTGTAAACCGTCATTTATTCCAAATAAAATTCCGTTACCATGCCATTAAGTAATTAAATCTCAATTTCGAGCCCACGCTTACATTACATTTGCTAGCTGGAATTATTTTGAAGTTGAAATGTTCATAGAGGTTACGGTTAACGTAAGTTAATAAAAGTCCTGGATGAACTCTTTTCTTTGGCTCACAGTCCAGAAAAGTTCCTATCCTTCACTCGTTCTATCTCCTCTAACCTTGAAAACCGTTCCTCAGAAAACAAAGGAAATGAGGTGCGATTCCAGACTGGAACTTGATTTTATTTAGACCCCGTTTATACTGTGCCGGATAAAATTTATCCGCATAAAACTTGTTCGGATTGATTTGCGTTTACACTGTGGCGCACAAATTTTATCCACTTTGTCCTCCCGTTTACACTGTGCCGGATAACTGCTGTCACATGACCTAAATCATGCACAGAACGCCCAAAATGAAGTCTTCTCTTGGAAACATAATAACAAAATTCCCGCCAATGTAAAAATACTTCATTCTCTCTTCAGAATCATCTGCTTCCCTTTTAGACCAAATCCAAAGATATTGTCAATACAAATTAGGCCTAGTTTGTTTTAATGGTTTGTTCATGAAACGAAATGACACTGAACTAGCAACGAAAGTAGGGAAACCTGACAAGGATGTCAATTTTACATGGACTGGGAAGATACTGCACTTTTAACAGGAGTATTTATCGACAACAAGGCAGCCAAGATGGCGAAAGGTCTTGATTGGGAGACAGCGAAATGTAAATTGTATGAAGTAGCCAATCGCTTTCGAGCAAGATACGATGTGGATAAAATTTAACCGGATAAAAGCATTTACACTGTACCACATAGCTATCCGAACTAATTTAATCCACTTTCCTAGGTGAACTAATTTTGTTCGGATAGCCGCCCTCAAATTCGAGTGGATAGTGTGGGTCTAGTGTAAACGCGACGCCTATCCGAACTAATTTTAATGCGGATAAAATTTATCTGGCACAGTGTAAACGGAGTCTTAATGGGCCTCTTCGGGCGATTGACTGTGTGACCGCCATGACTTCAATCGATTACCTTCGGGTACTTTCGAAACTAAAATTAATGAAAGCCTTTGTAAGAAAATATGAGAACTTCAAAGGTTTCCATCAAAATATCCAAATTGATATCTTCATATCCTGAAAAACTGAGCTAAGCATCTCAAGCCTTGCCAAAGCTGACACAAGAAATCTTAAGAAAAACGAAGTGGCAATTTCTAGCCATTGGCGAGTTTTAGCAACTTCTATTTCACCAGAAGCGTGGACTTTCACACCGGGTTCTTTTTCAGTCAAATTAATACATTTTACTGATTTTCTGCAAAGTGAGGGGGTGTCTTGCTAAGCAGGGCCCTCGCCATTGATTTTATTAGGGGATGGAAGAATGTGAATAAACAGCCGATATTATGGCTGGGCTATGGCCTGCTTTTAGACGTAGCCGTTGTAGTGTTACATTCAAGATGAAGTGGATATTTGCTAGATTTGCCGAAGACTTTGCTACCCCTTCCCCCTTCCCCCCCCCCCAACACGATGGCCCGGTTGCTGGGTTTCCAGTAAGGAATTAGAAAGTAAGTTATCAGTACTTTTATTAGCCAGCAAAATGCAATTTCTGTTGCAGGAATACCTTCACAAGTACGGGTATCTCGATACTGGAGGAGCTATTGGCCAACTGATCGACGGTACATTTTACCCAATGGCAATTAAGAAAATGCAACGGTTTGCTGGCCTGAAGGAAACAGGAATACTTGACAAAGAAACAGTAGCCCTGATGAATTCTAGCCGCTGTGGTGTCTCAGATATTCATTCAAGTCGATCAAAGAGATTCGCCGTTCACCACTGGAAATGGCCTAAAAGGGTAAGAGCCTTAGCTGAACCTTAACTTTGATCTTCCCTTTCAATCAAGGCACAAGCGGTGTAGAATATGTAAAAACGTGATGAAAAATTTAATGCTGAATGTATATAAGTAATAGAGTAGTTTCAGAATCAGAGCTGCAGTGGAAATTGAATTTCAATTGGCGAAAGATAAAATTTAATAAAATATTCAGATCAAGTACTGGAATTTACAAATTTTGCAACAAATTTGGTTCTTTTAGAGGAGGCTGTAGCCACCTCCAACAAACTGTTATGTCTCTGTGATTCTTCCTTTTGGAAAAAGCTTCCTTAAGGAATATTTTTAATGATGGAACGCTGGAGGGGTGATTGATTATCGAAATCTTGATTTGCGTATCGCAAGTAACTTATTAAATTGTTTTCCTTCAAAGTAAAGACTAGTTTGCATACCACTACACGCACCAGGGTGGACCAAAGATCGTGGAAGGGAGACTAAGGAGTGGACTAGGGACCTTGGACCAAGCACTGGGTCAATAAGTTAGGGGTTAGTTATAACAAGATCTTATATTCAATAGTTCCTAGCTGTAATCCAAGCCTTTTCCCTCTTTTGGACCCTACTCTTCAAGGTGCCATGCCAAGTGCTCTTCAAATTGATCGGAAAAGATATAACACGAACATATGAAATGATAATATAAGGACAGTAAGCTTTTACCTTGAAGTACTAAACAGGGGCGTCACTTCATACTTTTTGTTGGGGCGGGGAGGAGGGTGGTAGCATATTTGCCCTGCAGAAAAATTTTGCTCAGGCAAAAGTTGAAAATGTAGGGAACTGCCCCTCGATTCCAGTAACACAAAATAATAGGTCAGTTGTACCCATTTAGGCCATTGCTTATTGTGCCCACGAGTTCACCGATGTCTTTGCCTAACTTGGGGAAGACGAGCAAGAACAAGATTGAGGGAACCCTGGAATCAAAGAACATACGCTCATTGTTTTACAACACACTTTCGATTTGCACACTAGCATCCCACTGATTTCGTTACGTTGGATGTAAAATCACTATTTCTCAAGATGAGGGTATCACAGCTTCCCTCAATTCAATCAAAAATCATTAAGGGAAAAACTACCCCACTGCCTAATAAATACAACAAATGGTGATGTTTATTCTCACGCAAAATTATATTGCTTTAACACTCTTTTTTTATAAGAACAATTTTATAAAGCTAAGAACTGGTCAAAACAAAGTTGATCAAAAGTTAAGAACAGATTAAGAACAAATTGAGGCTGAGCTACTGTAAAATGTAACTATGAACAATGTTCAGTCTTAAAAATGAGTTTCTTGCCATCTAGGGATGCTTCTTCGGTGAACTTCCACACTTGTCGGAAAATATAAATCCTCAGATTTTCAATAAAAAAAGGAAGAACAACCAGCCTAAACTTAAATTCGAAGCAACTAAAATGAGAGGTGTCATTTGGTGTCATTTTTCTCCTCCGCGAGTCTGCGCGCAAGCTAAAATTCACTGGCTCTTAAAAAAGAGCGTAATGTAATGGTGTATATAATTAACTTCCCTTAAGGCATCGCAACATATCTTGAGCAATGCCCTGATGGGGCGTAGTCCAATATTTTGGAAAAGATTTCTCAATAACAATTTTCATCTGGCAACACAACCTACAGGAAATTATACACTACACTCTATATCACCCACAAAGAACAAAATCGATATTAAAACCAGTATACAATCGACTCCGCTTAAAGCTACACCCGCACCACTTAAAGTCACAGTCAGATCAAATTTAGACGAGAAGTTTTGGAGCAGCATTTGGTGTGACTATAATAAGATTGTACTATGATATTTCTGTTCTGACACACGCCGCTTTTTTGTGCACCTTACCTTAGCAACAAACTGGATTCCAGAAGGCTGTGTGGCAACGCCCGTTTCAGAGTTCACAATTTTTCTTAGTTTTCTGGCAAGCGGTACTTGTCTTTTCTGCGTGGTTTTTAAAATAAGACACACATATTGACCAAGGGGAAACATTTTAGTCCTCAGTTAAAGGAAATCAGAATCTATTTAGAAATCTATTCCATTCAGCCCAAGCTCACGTATTTCGTGTCAATGGTAGTCTGTTTCATGTTACTTTTGGAACAGACAAATTTCAAGCATAACCTTCTTTCTTGTTACAGTTATAAGAAAAACATCAAAGCAGACCCATCGGTAGAAAACATTTGCCTTACAAAAATCAATTTTGCCCTGCAAGACGGTTTTATTTTCATGTTGGGGGGGGGGGGGCTGAACCACCTTCCGAAACCCCCTCCCTTAAGTGACGCCCCTGGTATTACATCCTGCTTTAGCTCAAATCATTGACGTAGGGACCGAGAGAGGCCTAGGGAGGGGGGCACGTGCCCTCCCCATTCTTCTGATAGTTTGAAGTATGCCACTTTGATGGATGAGAAGTGCCCCTCTTGAGATTAAACACATCATTGCTTCATTTTCAATCCATTGGCTATTTTCATAATCTGCATCAGCAGTAAAATAATTCTCAGCTCAGTGGAGGATAAAAAGTTACTTGCAATGTAGTATGACAGAATGGAGATACCACAACTTAATGATGCTTTGTTTTCATCAGCAAAAAGCTGATAAAAAATTGAAACCGGTTGCAAAAGACTTTGTACAGCGCAACGAAGGTTTTTTTTAACGAGGTCTTATGCAGCTTTGACTTCTGAGGCTTCTAAATTCAAAAAGAGCATACTCAAAGTTTTATTTCCTTTACTTGTCAAAAAAGTGCTATGACATTGTTCCAAGTAAACACGAGTAACAGACTTGTCAAGCTGTATCGTTCAATGGCTACTGAGGCAAAAAAAATGAGTTTATTTTCTCAGTGGGCGTGCTTCTAAATTGCTCTTCTACTGTAATGCACCCCCCCATTTTTGATACCCCCCTACATACGCCTCTAACTGAAATTGTACTAGGTCGTTTAGAGCTTAAAATAATGGGACTGCTTTATTGTTAACAGGTTCTCACATGGCGTATACATAACTATGGCAACGACGGTATTCCAAAACCAGTTATAAGAAAAACTTTCAAGAAGTCTCTGGTGAAATGGGCCAACGTCACGAACTTGTCTTTCAAGGAAATCTCATCTGGCAAGCCCGATATTTTGTTCAAATTTGCTCTAGGAAAGCACGGTGACCCTTCCCCGTTCAGTAGACCTTGGGATGGAGTCATCGCACATGCCTATTATCCGAAGCATTCAACCCCAGGTAATTAGCCGCATCTTTAGCCTTTAGTAGAGTCTTCAATGTAAAGGCAACTTGTTTTCTTGCAATATTATAGCATGTGCCTTAAACCAAAATATCGCTGTCCCTGATCTGTGACTTCTACTTGTGCGCCTTCCCAGCAAACACAAGCCAGTTTCGCTTGTCAAATTGATTGAGCGGCGAATAATGCGGTCACCTACAACTGCACCCAGAGCTGAATCCACAGAGCCACGTTCATTATGAACTTCAGGTCATGTTTTAATGACATCTTTGTCGATATCTCTAAGCAAGCCTGGGAAAATATAAGTGAGAAAGCGATTAAAATGTTATAATTTTCTTAATTTTTGTCAATGCTTTTGAAAGTTCGGTAAGATGGCATGCTACAAATCACCCTAAGGCATAGATAAACTTCTAAAGCATTTGGATGAAAGAGTGAAAATTTTTCTACATAATACGGTCACAGCGATTGTATAATGGACGTATTCTAGCAACATGAGATATCATGTCGTAAACAGAATCTACACATGAACCGTCCTGTTCTACTCGCCAATTCAGTTTCGAAACTAATTAAGTATGACCATAATAGCTTAATATTGACTTCCCAAGGCAAAATTTGGAATCCTCAAAGGGAAGTTTCTTCCTCTCTGGGGCCAAAACATGGAATTAGGTTCCAAGAAACATCAGACTGAGCCCCACAATTTCCATGTTTAAAATAAACTTGAAGGGATTCCTACAAAGTTAATGAATTCCCAAAACAAAACACGATTCCTAGGTCTCAACAGCAACATCTTTTTTTTATATATATTAAAGAAGTAATTGTAATAGAAGTAGTTTATTTATATTTGTATTATAGCTGATAGGGAATTCGTGTATAAAGATTTTAAAATGAAAATGAATGAAATTCGCAGGCTATCATGCCAATGTATCTTCTCTCCTAGGATTGGCCGGCGATGTGCATTTCAACGACGACAAGAAATTCACTGTGAATTCATACAAAGGAAAAGATCTTCTATGGGTTGCCCTCCATGAGGTTGGGCACAGTCTTGGAATGGAACACTCAAACGCAAAAGGATCTATAATGTTTCCCTATTATCAAAGTTACACAGGCAAAGAAAGTGAGTTAACGGAAGATGACATTGGTGGAATCCAGTCACTCTATGGTAAGTAAGATATATTACTTTATCTCTTTTTGGATGAGAATCGTCTACATTTGAAAAGGGCCTGAAACTGCCTCTCGCCTGAAACTGTGGTTCTCTCAGGGCCCGCGCCACCGATTCTAAAGTGAGGGGGGGGGCAGAAAAGGGGGGTTACCTATTTAATGACTAAAAGGAGGATTCGATACCTTTAGTTAGCAAGAAAGGTGGGAGCATGGCACCCCAGCCCCCCTGTGGCTCGGGCCCTGCCTCTGCCAGTTTACTGGCCCCATATAATAATTTTCTGCTGTATAAAGTTACTTTGCCATGTAGCTACGATCTGTGAACGTTAGAGTGATTGTGGCTACATGCTCTCTGTCAAGTACCTTCCACACGCTCCCTTTGATCCAACATGCCAAAAACCTCCCCCATTTACCACATTCCATAGCTATTACTTTAACCTTACGTTTACCCAATTAAGCCACTAGCAACTGATACCTTTCATGCTTATCAATCTCAATAGAACTCTAGGCTTGCTCGTTTATAGTTCTAATAGCGTGTTCACCTTTCAAAGGAACCAAGTCTAAAACCAAGCAACCAACACCTGAAGTACCATTCAGCAAATGTCTTGGTAAAGTTAGTGCTTCTTTCCTGTCTGCCGAAAAGCATGTGTACATCTTCAGTCGCAAAAAGTTGTTCATATTGAAGAAGACACTCGGGATTAAAGTAGGACCTGTTTCGATCGGAAAAATATTCAAAGGAGTGAAATCTGTAGATGCTGCTTTTAGAAGGCACGATGGAAATACAGTTCTGTTCAGAAAGAATAAATACTTTGTGTTCAATTCCAATAATCAATATGTCAGTGGACCCCACCGTATAAGTTCGTCATTTGCAGGGCTAGAAAGTCGGTCAGGCAGAATCAATGCTGCCTTTATATGGTCAAAAACGAATGCTCTCTACATAATTAAAGGAGATAAATACTGGCGCTACTCTCTAAACTCAAATGGAAATGGTTATAGATTGGTACCAGGATATCCAAAGCTCATAAAAGATATTTGGCCAAGGGTGCCAGGGAAAGTGGATGCAGCGTTGACATGGACTGACGGCAAAACATATCTCTTTAAAGGTAAGAAAAAAAAAATTTCCTGGTACAATTTACTGACATTGATCGTTATTCAAATTCATCATATTGTACCGCACGCATTTTAGTATATTTAAGAAAAGTTATACTTTGATTCGTTATAAATTAAAGTGCAAGACAGCTAGAAAGTATGAATTACAAAGCATTTCAGTCCTCGAACAATATAATACTATGCAGTACTAAGCAAAAGCAAAGCATTTGCTTATGATATCTTGTCATACATATTAAGAAAATAACGTAAGAAAATAACACAAGATGCCTATAGTCAGTAACAAACGTTCACGATATTGTCATACAGTTCTAATATCAAATCAGGATTAAAAATTTTCCTGCGGAATTAGATATTTTGTGATACTAAATCTGATATTTGATATCTGATAAAAATTTTCGAAGAAATATGACAAGAACTAAATTATGGCTTCTGTTTTTATATGTTTACAGTTAGATTTAAGTATGACAAGGAAGCATTTCTCAGAAAACAACTCGATAAACAATCAAAGAAAGATCTTGCTACAAGTCTGATAGTCGTAATGGTCTCAATATTTTGATAGCCTGAAGCTTTAATATTCATAATTGAAACGTTTTCATGACTCACATATTGATAATAGGTAGGTGAATAATGTTTATGACATTGCAAAATGCAAGAGCTTTTCAATAGGCTTTTCCCTGCTTACTTAGATTTAATGTGTCTTCAAATTTTGACACAACTATTTTCACTTCAAGTTAGTTTGTTCCACACGTAATATCAAAAAAGGATAGTAATTCAGGTTTAACTCTTACCTCTCATCTTTTGCCACAGGTGACAAATTCTATCAACTAACAAAGCAGTTTACTGTTCAAAATGATTACCCCAAGAGCACATCACGTCTCTGGCTAAAATCTGCAGAATGCCAAAGCAATAGCCTCGACTTAACAGAAGAAAAAAGTGCAGCCTCTATACCAAGTCAAACATTATTAGTGATGGTAGCATCGATATTTACTATTTTTGCTTTGTCTTAGAATAGTTTATAGTTGTTATTTATTTATTTTTTCACTATTAAAATATGAATAGTTTATTTCTGATTAATGAGTACGCCCAAGGCTGTCCATGAAAAAACTGTGAAATGTTAAAGCTCCGAAGAGATTCGCCCCAAGCCAAAGTACATTTTAAAGAAGTATTTCAATTGTATCACTTCTTTCAAATTGTGTATATTGATGCTGAAAAGAGAGTTCCAGATGATGAAATTCCAGGGTCTAATTTTGAACATGTGAGCTGTAGGTCCCCCCTGAGTAATAATAATGATTAAGTGTTTGTTTCTGATTGGGGACTTTAGAGATTTATCGTAGCATTTGCTCAATTAAAACATTAAAATTTCACATAGACAGTATTTGGTACCAATATCTGTAAAAGCTGTTTCTTGTAGATTGAAACACAGAAAAATAGAGACGAATTTCTAAGGAGCCTTGTACAATAAATTTTGTTAGTAGAAAATCTTACATAGAAAAGACAATTTATCTTTATCTAGAAATTTGAATTTATATCAGTGGGATAGAAAAATTATATTTATTTGTGTGCTGTAAAATAGTTAGAGATTTAATAAATTATGTAAATATTTATTCATTTGTTTATTGTAAAGATGTATTATAAAGAATACATATTTGTTTGTTTTCCAAATGTTCAACCGAATATGTATATCAATAGTCTATGTAAATTTTGATTTATTATTACTTAGCAATCATTAAAAAACTGCAATAGCAAGTCTATAAAAAGCAGTACAATAGGGTTTCTTTTTGTACCGAAACATTTTCTCACATGTATAGGTTAATATGGACATGTATAGGTTTACATTGTAGATAGATTTTCATTCAAATGTAAATTGTATTTATTTGTTTGAAATGCAATTTGTATAGTTTTAAATTTTGTTGATACAGTTTTGAAAGTTTTTTGCAGATATTTATTATTATTGTTGTAATAGAAAGAGTTTGAAAGAGTTAGATACTTTTTCTATATGAGACATGTTTTGTTTGATAAAGAGTAATTTTCTTGTGTGATGATTTCAAGTTACGCTGAATAATTGTTTGGCTTCATTGAAAATGTCCAATTGAGAAAAAAGGTGGGGAAATTGCCTTACACATTCAGTTGCATTAGAAATAAGATCTATATAGTCTCCCTCTAATGGAGCCTTTTTCGCTGGGGCAAAATGCTATTTTATCAAAATTGATTTATAAACAATGGGCGACAAAATCATTAGTCTCTCCGTTGGTCTGGGTTGTTTTTGCTCACTGCCGACTTATCTAAACCAATAAATTTTGTGATAGGGCATTTTTTCTTTAGAAGCCTGCATCCTTTTTAAATATATGAAAAGAAGATGGTTCTTACAAAAATTGTAGAGATCATTCTATTGTAGCAAAAATCATTCTATTGATTCTTTTACAAGGAGAACAGACAACAAAAGCACCTTACCCAACAAAATTTTGATGCAATAGCCCTACCAGAAGCATAAGCATCAGAGATTTTAAAGAAAGATACCAACACACATGTAAAGCTTTTACGATGCAAGCTAGAAAATCCAGGCTACTCCTTTTACTATCACACTGTACAGTTTGGCTTCAAATATCATCAACTTTCACTTTGCTTAACTTAAATTTTGAACCTGTTGGAAGTTAATAGCATTTTTCTCTGCTTCAACTCTTTTTCCTTATAAATTTACTTTTCAATAGGATTGCCCACTAGTAGGTAGACGAATCTTCAAAGTGACAAAGACGAAGAGAGAAGAATAAGATCCTCATTTTTGTACATCTGGGAAGATTTTTGTGATGAGCAGGTTTTTGTTGGTTGCGCCAAGGCTCAAGCTTTTTTTCCCTCATAAAAGCCCCGGAAAAACGAATACATGCACTGGACAAATGTCCAGCGTAAATGTAGCGTCGTTTTGCCACCTTGTCCAGTCTTGTTCAGCGATGTTGAATGTTGTTCAGTCGATTTTGAAGGCAGCCAAAAATCTTCAGTGGACAGGATTAAATTACTTTTGTTCATAGATGTTATAGAGAAATGTCCAGTCGTTTTGCCACTCTATTGAAAAATGACCAGTTGGCGCACGCGCAATTGATGTAATGGATTGGATTGGGCGCGAATTTCATTTCCCATATTGAAATTCATCTTTAATATTCAATTCGATGGAGAGCAGGAAAAAGCATTTTATTAGTAACGACGGGTATTCTGAAGAGATTAGCTTAGTTCTGATGACGAAAGTGATGACAGAGAACACGAATACGGTGATTGTGATTGTATTGTGATGTATTGTATTGTAGATTATTTAACGTTTGTTTTTACAATAGTGAATATACACTAATTAAGACTAACATGAAGCAATTTCAAGGATTGTATAAGAAAGTTCATTTACTGCAAAACGAGCATGCGCACTTGTTTTCAAGGAACCAAGTTTGATCAAAATCGTAAATTTTCTAGTATTTTGTGCTGTCTTTATTGATTCCGGGAGTGAATACCAGATTTTAGGCCCTTAGAAACTTAATGATCTGATACCATTATTGGTAGTTCTGGTTTTTGGAATGAAACTAGCAGGCCTAACACTTCTTCAGACAAAGTTTTCCCGCGCGCATAATAATAATAATAATAATAATAAAACGAATATTTATACAGGATAAACACTTCAACAATTAGAACATCGCTGTTATCACTGTGTGTCCTGTGCCCTAGACCTTAAATGATATTGAAAGAAAACTTATTACATTAAAAACATTGATAAAACTTACAAGAATAGGATCTATAATACCTAATAAAACCTAATTTCACATTGAAATAAAATAATGTTTGTCACTGTCCTGCAAAATGATTTTTAAGTTTTTTAACAAATTCTTTGTGTGTCCTTGTCCGACGTATGTCTATAGGTAGCTCATTGTACACATTAGAGCCCATATATTGAAACGATTTTCGTGCATATTCTTTTTTAATAATAGGTAATCGCAGAGTGCATTTGTTGCTTCTTGTTTCCTTTTCATGTTGTATCAGAGTAAAATAATTCTGAAAATGTTCACAGATATCTCTGTCCAGGCATTTTCGCACAAGTTTGCAGGCTCTCATCTTATTCGCATTTATGACTGTCATGAGCCCTTTACCGGCTGTTTCATCACCATAGACTATCTTCAATGAACGAGAATGAAATGAGGAAAGTCTGCTTATTTGCGTTTTTGTGAGCTTTAGTTGCAGTATACCACAGTAAGTAAATGTTGGAAGGATCATAGTGCGATAGATTGTACTAGCTGTAGCATTGTCCATGAACGACCTTAATTTTGCTAGAAGTCGTAATCTACCAGATGCACGCTTGAAACATTTGTCGAAATGGGAGTTCAAGTTAAGTGAGGTATCCACAAGGACGCCAAGATATTTATATTGCATTGTGTTGTTAATTACCGTTGGGGTTGGCTGAGATATTGTGACTTTGAGTGGCCCATTTTGCTATTTTGCAATTCGTTGTGCCGTTCCAAATAGTATCGACTCTGTCTTGCCTTTTTTTAGATTCAATATCAGTTCATTGCATCTCAGCCACTTTGACAGATTTTCCATGTCTTTCGATAGTTTATTTTCAATTGAATCAATTTCTTTGCCTGCCACATACAAAACAGTATCATCTGCATATTTTAAAATGCTTGAATACTCCATGACTTCTACAGCATCATTGAAAGAGATAAGAAACAATAGAGGGCCAAGTATTGAGCCTTGTGGAACTCCTGTTAACAAGTTCTCCTCATCTGAGATACAACCGTTGAATGCTACCACTGCCTTTCGGGAGAACAGATAGTCGTTGAACCATTCCAATTCGTTATCTTTTATTCCGTAAATCGCAAGTTTTTCGAGTAGTATGGCGTGGCTTATGGTATCAAACGCCTTACTAAGGTCAACAAAGACTGCTCCGACGAGCTGATCCTTGTCGACGCTTCTCCGTATGTCATCCAACAATATAGTCGCCGCATATTCAGTTGATAATTTGGGCCTGAAACCATATTTGTATTTTGACAAGAGCTTGTTTGTGTTTAGAAATTTCATAACTTGACGATGAACAATCTTTTCAATCACCTTGGATAGTATCGGTAAAACTGAAATTGGTCGGTAATTATCACAGTTAGAGCGTGCACCAGATTTATGAGTAGGAATGATTTTAGCTGCCTTCCAGTCCGCGGGAAAGGTACTGGTCATGAGTGACATATTGATAAGATGGGTCAAGGGAGCCGATATTGACTCAGCAGAGTCCTTTATCAAACCTGGTGGCAGATCATCTAAGCCAGTTGCTTTATTTCTCTTTATAGACTTAAGTTCACGCTCAACTTTCTGTTTTGATACCTTTCTAAACATAAACTTTCTAACTGTTTTTGTGGGTAAGTTGGGTTGATTTCTCCATGTGAAGTTACATAACGGGAAAGCCTTTTCCTTCAAGGTTGTTACGATATTAGCAAAAAAGGAGCAAAATGCGTTTGCTATCTTGCTTGGGTCTTTTACTTTATCGCCGTTAATTTCGAAAGATTGAGGACTTTGTTTGTCGCTCGACTTGGTTGGGTAAATTGATTCTAGTGTTTTCCAAAACTTATTTGGATCCCTTGAATTTTCTTTCAATAAATCCTTGTGGTACATTGACTTGGCTTTTCTGACAGCTGTATTCACTTTATTACGCATGCATTTATATGCTGAGATGTCTGTTTGATTTTTAGTACGTCTTGATTTTCTTAACAGTTTATCTCTTTCATTCATAAGACGCTTCACCTCACTGTTTAGCCACGGTGCTGGCTTTCCCCTTACTTTCTTGAATATTCTCGGGGCGTGATGATTAAATACATTTTGAAGGATGCTTTTCATCATCGACCAAGCCTCGTTCACATTTATTTGGTTATAGAATGGAGCCCAGTCCACATTTTGTAAATCTGATTTCATATTTTCCGGATTATACATTTTATAATCCCGACAAGTAATAACCCTCGGTCTAAAAGAACTGTTATTTATTTTATGAACGCAACCAGGCATGTCATGATCTCCAATGCTGGTCGGTATGACGTCATGTTTTGCGATGTTCGAAGGATTATTTGTAAGGATGACATCAATCAATGTTTCTGTAGTTTCTGATATCCTCGTAGGCTTTGCAATAATTTGTTTCAAACCAAACACACTGAAGATTGCTTTCAGCTCTTTGTTGTCATTTTCAATTCGAAAATTTATATTCGCATCCCCAAGAATCATAGTTTCTTTGCACTCTTCTGCAGCCTTTGTTAACAAGGAATTAAAGCGTGCGTTGAAATCCTTTCGCAGGTATTTGGAACTATCTGGAGGCCGGTATATTATTGCGATCAAAATACCTTTGCAATGTTCACGACTAGGCCAGACCTTAATCCACATAATTTCCAATTCTTTGTCCTCGAGGTCTTCTCGCCTGTCCCAGGGTACCTTATTGGAAATGTAGGCACCAACACCGCCCCCTTTTCCAGAATTTCGTGGCCGGCTTTCAAACGAATAGCCAGGGATATCATACAGTCCATTATTTTCACTGTCTTTCCGTATGTGCGTTTCACTTAGGGTTAGTATATCGATCCCACTGAAGCTTTGAAAAAGTTCTGAAACAAGGTTTATGTTAGAAAACAATCCACGCACGTTTTGATGGAAAACTGCCAAGCCTCTCTGTTTAAGTAACTGTTTCAAAGCCGGGATGTCTCTGCTGTAGGGACCAGGACACGATTCTATATCACCACTCATCAGAATTAGGAGACACAGGAAACTTTGCATCGAGCTTCGGACATGAATATCGCGCTTCCCTCTCTTAGCTTGCCATAAACTGGATAATATAAACGTCTCCTTGCTGCTAGCAATTTCTTTTCCTGTGATAGTTAACCCAATTGAATCTGAGCCAACAAAAGCAATCTTCTTTACTCACCAAGAGTAAGATGCAAATAAATTTCAGCACTACCGACATGTCTTTCACCTTTCGCGGACGTGACAACCTTTCGCGGACTTGCAATCCTTCCATAGTGCAAAAGTTCACTGGATAATGTTCAGTCGTTTTGCTACCGCCAACATTTTCTGCATGTCCACACACTGAACAAAGTGCGAAATGTCCAGTGCATGACCAGTCCAAATGTTCAGTCGTTTTGCTAGGGCTTAAAGTTGGACCTTCTATGTTGCTACCACCGCCCAGTTCCGGTAATTGAGCCTCGTATGTTGTTGTTGTTAGCCTTGTTGTTGGAATAATTTCCACCAGTTACGTCATGGTAGGCAAACCTCTGACAAACACGTAGCTGCTCCACCTCTGCCCCTTCGTTCTGGCATCGCCTGGCATGGCTCGTTATCACACTTTTTGCTAAGGTATGATATAAAAGTTGAAAAAACGACCATAAAAATTAGGCAATTTGTCTAGAGATCCCCCACCCCAAAATTTTCTTGGCCCTTATCGTTGCTTATGAGACTTCAACCACGGCTAACATTGCGTTTAACCTCGATGATGAAGTCATGAAGCATGCCGCAATAGACTGCCATCGGTAAATGATCGATACATGAGCAACAACAAAAGTGAATCGACAAAAAATCAACCAAAATTCTAGATTAACTTTGATAAAATTTATTTAATTGTCTTCAAGTTTATCAAATGAAAATGGTGTCAATTCTTTTTTTAATTCAGTGGGTGCCAGTTGCGGGATATGCGAAGGAGCATATTTCTTCGAATGCTGGCTCCAACACAACAACAAATCTTGCAACAACAGCAACAATATAAAGGATCTTGCATTCTGATTGGTTGAATGGATATGAAATTGACCAATGATGTATTGGCCGAATGTATCAGTTATGGAAGAACAGAACACGAGCTTCGATAGTGAACCTTCGTGGAATGTGGCGCTTTTAGCCTTATAATCAATCTAGAAGCTCCAACTATAGTTTAGATTTGATTATTCGTAGGATGGGCAGAGGTGAGTTTTGTACTTGTTGAATCTTGCGCTTTGTTAAGTTTTATTGAGCAACGTCCCATATTTTTTGTGTATTGCAAGTGGCATACAACTGGCCTAAAAATGGTGAAGTGCGCGCCCTGCGTTAGTTTAAATGATATGTGCACGTGCAAACTCTTCGAATATATATCTATCTTCAGCAGGATTTAAAAATGAAACAAATCAGCAAGTTCGGCTATCCGGTAAGAGCTAACAATTTTTGTAAAGATAGATCAACTAAAAGGGCAATGGGAAATCGGAAAACGGTTTGCGCCATTTCTAATGGGCCAAAAACAAGAAAAGCCAAGATACGATCGAGGGGATCCGGTTTTTTATATTGAAGGACGAGATGTATAAGTAAATATTTTTACACTCTTTTGATAATGCTCGATGCCCTTAAAAATGTTTGGGATTTAGTACATGTTATATGTCAATCAACCATATTGTGCTTTTCTGGTTTACACCCACCCCCTGTCTTCCCAGATCTGCTTTTCCCTACCCAGCCGCCTCGGCTACTTTAGATACCTATGAATAACGTTGTTGCTATACTTCTATCTACAGTCCGAATGGAGAGGCAGTATGGTAGTCTTGTTGTTAAAAGAAGAAGAAGGAGAAGGCAAAGCCTGGAGCTTACAAAGGAGTGTTGCCAATGCAGATCAAGAGTCAGAACGGCAAAGAAAATTTCCCCAAAGAAAGACACAAGATTTGCTGATTTGCCAGAGGAGATTATCTTGAATATTATTTCATACCTTTCTCTGAAAGACCTTCTTTCCATTAGTCAGGTACCAGGCTGTTTAGAATCTTGAATAAGATTAATTTTTGTCACCTCATTTCTTTGATTCAATTTTTTTTACTGGAGTTTTATATAATAATAATCTCAGTAATGACCTGATTTAATGAAATGTTGTGGTAAACTTACTTAGTTGCACTAAGGCTTGCTCCCAAAGCCCCACACTTGAAACCAGGTCCTACAATGGCTTAATCTAGTATATATATACAATCCAAGAAAATGGATTTTATTAAGGACTGGAAATCAGAAGCATGAATTTGGGAAGTGTTTCTTTTTATAAGAAAATTTTGCTCCAGTTTCCACCTGGAATTTTTTATTTTTTTTTGCATATTTTTAGTCCCACATGTTTTTTATTTTGGTTCTTATTTTTGTAAAGGAATTTCCAATGCATAGTAGTGTCTTGGCATAACATGTGCTTGATAATAAAATTCTATTTTGCTTATTACTTTTTGTTTTCCATTGCTGTTCTTATCATTATTTAACTTTTGCTAGTATTTTATTTCTTGAGAAAATTAAATTTTAGCCTGACTTGTTTCTTTCGTTATTCTTATTTTTTGGGCAAATCTCAGCCTGATGTTTTTTGTAAGAGTTGTTTTAAACCAGCTGTTATGCTTGCATTTAGTGTAAACTGAGTCAACCCGTTTTAAAAATTTGCTTGTAAATGTATTTTCATCAATCTATTTTGCATGTTTTGTTTGTATAATAATGTTTGTATTTTGTTTGTACTTAAATAAACATTTTTAAGCAATTCAGATGAATAATCAACTTTTGAATTTTGATAGGTTTCCAAATACTATCACAATATAATTGACCAGTCTCCTGTTACATGGGCTAAAGTTTCATTTCAATCAAAGTGGCCAAATTCAAAAAGCCTTAAAACTTTTGAAAGGTAAATGATTATATATATCATCTAATTTTCTACTCAAATATATTGCCTTGATTAATTATCCTTTATCTTTGAATTGATTCTGTATATATCTAAAATCAGAATTTCACTCAAACCTCTCCTACAAATCCTATCTTCCAGAATAACACCAGCAGCCTCTCCTTTTTGATTTATCCTAACAAGAGGTTTCTATACATTAAAGGCAGCAACTTGAGTCATAATTCTCAAATTTTTATACTGTAATGTCTTATTCATGTATTGTTGTCAAATTTACATTATTTTTTCCAGAGCTGCTGAGAGTGGAAATATTGAATGTCTTGCAAAACTTGCTTTTGTTTCATTGTATATTTATAATTTTAAAGGTAAATCTTGTACTTATTCTTTCTAGGGGTTAATATTGTTATAAATATCCATAAAACAAGAACCTATCTGCACTGAATTTAAATGTTAGACTGTTCAATTGGTTATCAGTTTGGAGCCATGACCTGAGTTGTCTACTGGTGAACAGCACTTTGACTTTATGTAAATTGAATTATTGGGTGGGGGCTTATTCAAGTGAAGGGGCTTATTTCAAAGTTTAGTATTTTTCCTCAAAAGGTCAACATAAAAACGACATAATTTTCTCAATTAATTAAATTTGAAAATTACAAAAAGGCCATTGTCCTGTGAGGGCTTTCTTGAAATAAGATATTATTCTGCAATTATGCTTATTTGCAAAAATGATTTCTTAGGTGGGGGCTTATTTAAGGTGGCATATTTGAGCATGGGGGCTTATTCAAGGGGGGCTTATTCAAGCATGAGGACTTATTCAAGCATGAGGACTTATTCAAGCGTGGGGGCTTGTTCGAGGATTTAAAGTATATAATATCTTTTTTGCAAAATATTTTTAAGTATTTTGGTTTTTCAAGATATACATGCTTTCCCGAATATGGCATACTCTATATCAACTTGTGGGTCATTTTTTCTTTGAGTTAGATATCCTTAGATTGTGCTTTTCTTTATTAACTCTAAGGCCCTTTGGATTGTATGGTGAACACAAGTTTTTATTTGTTTTATACAGATTTCATACTGAAACTCTATATTTTGGTATTTTTATAGCAGGTGTGAGAAAATGTATAAAGACGTCTTTAGAAAATGCAACCAAAGCTGTAAACTACTTCACTAGAATTGATGAAATAATTGCACCAGAGCTTCCTGTCACTTGGATGTTTATAAGACCTCCTTGGGCATACCCAGGTGGAGTTAGAAAGTGCCTGAAGGAATGCATGTTGATCAAGATAGAAGAGGGTTGCAACTCAGATGAGGTCAGTAGCTAACTGTCTTTTATTGCCAATTGTTAGATATTTTTCAGTAGTCAATATTGCCACTTTTATAGTGTTCTTATATGATCAGGTACCACTTAAACAGCTAACCATCAGAATTAAAGTAAGCCCCTGGTTAATTTCTATTGTGTTTAAAACTGGGGAATTTTTTTGTATTTTATTTTTGTGAGATGCAGACACTCTTGTTATACACTCTTTATACAACTAAGGTATCTTAGAAGGCTTTCAGTTTGATAAAAAAAATTTAAGAAATTAGGTTCCCTATGTTGAAAACAGCTTGAATTCAATGTCTATATAAAAAGTTAAATTCTTTATATATATAAATTCTAAGGAACCAACAGTACATAGATGATGATTGATTTTTGGAACAAAAAAGTCATAATGCTTGGTAAACGCAGTTTTGGCAGCAAAGTGATTTAGGGTTTTTTGGGAAAAATCCTTGAATACATATAGATAGAGTTGAAGGGCAAGTTCAAGAGGGCAAGTCCTTCCCCTGGATAAGCCCCCTCCCTAGAACTACAAACTGTCAGTAAGCCCCCCCTTGAGTAAGCACTCACTTCTACCGTAAATCTTCCAGTTGGCTCCCCTCAATTTGTTGATTTTTGTCATCTGAGGTTGCCTTTGGTGTTTTATTGAATTATCACAAAAATTCTTATTTTTGGTAATAATGAATTGAAACTTAAAAAAGAATTTCCTACTAAAATATATGAGGTCTTTTAATAATGTCTTCTTGATGTCTATTGTAATTTTTAAAAGCCCCCCTTTTATAAGTCCCCTGCCGAATAACCCTCCATCCAAAAATTTCAAAAATACATTAGACCCCAGGGGGCTATTACGGGAATTTTTGGTATACATTTTGAAAGTATTTTTGCTAGAATAACAAACAAACAAGGGCTATAAAAATTTTCTGCAAATCGTTTTTTTGTTAGTTTATACTTTCTACTCACAGACAATAAATGTTGAGTTTGCTTTTATGGGGCTGAGGGGAGAAGATGCCAGACTGTCAAGATGCTCAAATTTTTGTTTGTACAAATTCTGATAATGAAAAATTATCCATTCTCCAGAGTAACGCAAAATTAAGGAATGCTATTGGTATTTCTGCTGTCATTGCAGCAGTTGTAATGGTTTTTAGTTTTTTTCATTTGTGTATGTATTTTTATAAACAGGCAACCAGGCCAGCTCTATACAATGTTGGAAGAACATACCTTTTAAAAGAAAATACCCTGGACGAAAAGTCACAAGAGTTTTTCACAAAGGCAGCTAATATGGGATGTTCATTTTCCAAGTGGGAACTTTATAAAGACCGAATTGCAAAGATCAGCAATGATGACGATGCTGGTGTGAAGTTAGAAAATATGCGACAACTGCAAGACATTGCATCTAAAGGTCATTTTGATGCCACTATTGAATTGTGTAAGGAGTATGCTCAACACCAGTATGGAGATGCAAACAGGAAAACAGCAGTGGCTTATTTCAGAAAGGTATATATTGTTTTGAATTATATTTTTTTATGTTCTTAGAGCACACCTGAGGGCTGATTACAATTAGGTAAGAAATTGTTTGATGTGGAGACGAAAGTTAGACTTGATCTTGCAAAAGTCCTGTTATACATGTAGAATAAAAGTAAAACAGTTATTCGTCAAAATATGGAACAGTAGAGAAAACATGCTTAAAATTCTAAATTATCCAGCTTAGGTCATGTGATGAAGTAAATTCACTTCAGACATTTCAAGGTAATAAATCCATTTTTGGCATTTCATATTTACCCATTTGCCCTTAGAAGGCCAAAACAAAGGGAAGATGAATAGGAAGAAACGTTCAACCACAGCATATCCCACATTTTTGAAATTATCATTTTGAATAGATGTTCTTTTCATCTGTCACCCTCTTACAAAAGATATGTTTCCAAAGACATCGAAATTGCACTTTGTCTCTCTCTCTCTCTCTCTCTCTCTCTCTCTCTCTCTCTCTCTCTCTCTCTCTGCTATCTGCAAGTCGCTCTTATGTTGTATCAAATAGTGTGTTAACTATATATACATTTTTTGTAAGGCTCTATTCCACCCTTTGTAACCGTAGAGTTGTAACTTTCCCCAAGGTAATGCAACAGTGCAGTCCATCGAATGTTCACAGGATGACAATAACAACAAACTCGACCATCAATGAAAATATGAGGTATGCTGAATTTCATTCCAAATAATCTTTTTGTGGTACAGAGTTTAAAAATGTCTTCAAAAAGCAAACATTTTTGAACTTACTTGAGCTTTTCGTCTGACACACTTCAGAATATAAAACGTCAGTCTACGCTAGGAATTTTATATACTCAGTTGTGGATCGAAATAGGCCAACGAGCAGCGCGAGCACATCAGAAACGCAACATCAACAGTCATGTGCTCGCGTTTCTATTTCTATTTCCTAGCGTAGAGTTTTCGATCTATGTTCTGACGTTTTATTCTCTGGAGCGTGTCAGACGAAAAGCTAGAGTATGTTCTAAAATGTTTGCTTTTTTCAAAGCCATTTTAAATTTCATTCTCTTGCATTTTAGAATTTTTGTCAAGTCAAGGACCTGATCCTTTAGAATTTGCCACCTGACGATTTTGTTTATTCAAAGTTTTGCTCATAAATGCGAAACAATACATAATAACATTTTGTAATCTTGTTATGGAGACGGACCTAGATTCCTTTTGTTTAAGACTATTATTCTATCTACTTGTCTGAAACAATGAGAAAATGCATCATATACACATACGCATTAGGGTAAACAGGCTTATGGACAGAACTTACCTTTCGTTGCATTCACAGCATTCAATCAGATTCAATTAAATTTTATTCGTATACTAAGGCATTACAATACTATATCTATTCTGTACTAGACACGACCCAAGAATAGTACGTACTTATCGAAAATGGGCTGTTTACAAAGTCTAGTGAAAAATAACAGTAATTATAATAACAGAATCAAGGTTGCTTGTATACTTTATAAACTGGAACAAATAATATAGCTTCTCATAGGTAATAGATCATTTTTCACTATTTGCGTGACACCCTTTTCTCTAAGTTTTCATCATATTTTGAATCGAGACTGGCTTGTTCCTATTAGAGACACGCATTTTCCCACCACAGAATATATTGTACAATGTGAAACTGATATCATCGATTACAACTATGTGTCATTATTGCTTTGAGGTTAATTTGAAGCGTTGTTCACTTGTTAAAGGTGTATTCTGGTCAACTGGATGCACGAAGTCTGTGACGTCAAAAGCATAGATTCAGAGGCATTGCATATGGCAGTGGATTGCCTGGACAGGTATCTGCTAAGAAGGACAGTCACGCGAAAACAGCTTCAGTTGATAGGAATTTCATGCGTTGTGCTAGCCTCAAAGTAAGTATTTTCATCATACTAATGTAAGTTTACTTATCAGAACAAAAGTGCGAGCAAAGGCTATTGTCTGCATTTGACTTTTCTCTGACTTTCCCCCAGAAGATTGTTAAAGGTTACAAATTTTTTGGCGGTACGAAATTGATTTTAAGAAAGCAAAAATTTTACAACATACTAAAAGCTTTTTCGAGTGACGCTCCTCTTAAACTACCATCAATTGGTTACACTTCCTTGCGACTCGAAAGTAAGATTAAACAAGCCATCACAAAATGTTTCTTTGCTGTCAATCCTCGAATTGTTTACATCACAAGGAGAGCCCTTCCATCCATTTAAAAGTATTACGTTCCTACCACCCAAAAGAGTTACATTGTTTATGAATTTTCATGCCAGTGTGATTCTGGCTACGTAGGACGCAAAACCTAAAGGTTGGGGAATTGGATAAAACAGCATGTTCCTTCCAACATGAGAAACAAAACTATTTCTAAAAGAAAACAGCCTCCTCGACCATGTAGGTCTAGAAACACCATTGAAACAAGTGATTCTGCCATCGGTCAACATCTTTTAGATAACACAGATGGTGCCAAAGACGACATAAGAACAGGATGGAAAATGTATACCCATTTGTGGATCGAAATAGGCCGATCAGAAACGCGAGCACATGACTGTTGAGGTTGACAAATCAGTGCCGCTTGCCTATTGAGAATGTTACCAATAGAGTCCTAAGGTGAAAACGATCTCCTTTTGTCTACACAATAGCGGCTTTTTCGTGCTTATGTAGACAGATTCCAAAACTGCTAGATGGAACGACGATCGGGCTTTACCAATAATCCGAAACATGTCGCCACTATAGTTTTTTGCACAATCTGGGTTTTCCAGTAAATGCTGCCCGATAGCGGAATTGCATGTTTTAGTTGTACTTTTAGATCTGCAGAACCGAGGTGGCTGTTCTCTTTGGGGATGAGTTTTGTTTCTGATACTGGACGGAACATGTTTGCTTTTTTCAAAGTCACGTTTAAAGGCTAGGAAAATATCATTCAATAGACATGAAGATGTTCCTTTTTTTAATTTCCTATGCAGTTTTAATTTAAATCAAAATTCTCTCGATGGAGGGGGCAAGGAGGGATTGGCTTGAAATTAACGTTATTCATCAATGCGTTTCAGTTGAGATTCTTCTTTAATGCTGATAAATTCTATGTGTTTGTTCTTTTACAGGGCTTTCTCGAACTGTTCATCTAGTCTTCTAACAATAAGAGAGTCTGCATGGCTAACGGACAGCACGTATGAATACAATGAAGTTGTGAGGTGCATAACCAGTTTTCATTTCTTTTAGTACGAATAGCATCCAGGGCCACAAATCGACCTTATAACGTATCATATTAACATGGTAATGTATGCATGGGTCTATACGGGGTAATGCCTTATCTGTCTGTACAAGGAAGTATTATTATCAACAAGAGCGCAGATATTATACCTCGAATTTACATTCAAGTATCTAGATACGTAGGCACCAAAGGAAGGATATAGAATGACAAGGAGGGAGGGGGGGCTAAAACCGTATAAAAGAAAGCTTTACTGGTAGTTTATGGAAGTGTTGCAAAAATGGGGAACTAAAGCCCCCCCCCCCCCCAGCCACCCTGCTCCGCGGTGCCTGGAAATAGATGCGGTTTAATATTTCTCCGTTAGTTTGATTGTATTGTTCTTTTTTACTTTGAAGCCAGCCATAATGAGAATGCTGTATGCTCTAATTTGGCCATTGACATTGTTTGACATTGGGTCATTGATTTTACGTTGATGTTTGTAGTTTATATTTCTTGTATTTTTTTTTTGAAATTTTTTTAGGTTTTTCAATCGTTTCTCTTGACATTTCAGAATGCTTGCTGAGATTATTGGTGCGCTTTCTGGCCAGCTTGTAAGAATGAACACGAATCATTATGGAGAGATAATGAGCACGTTAGCAAAGGTTTGTTTTATTTCTGTTTTAGCGCTTTTTGGTGATTGCCTGCGATTGGTTGATTTCAATTGAATGATTGATGTCGACTGAATGATTGATGTCGATTGATTGCTTTGCTTGGCGAATGCTTCGCTTTGGCGATTGATAACTTCGCTTGGCGAATGCTAAGCGAAGACGAGAAGAGACAGTACGACACGAAACAAAACATAAATGGTATCCTAGGTCATACCAAAATAGATCAAATCCATGTAGTAATTACTAGAAATCATTCACTTTTCCATCAAAAGACAATTTTTCAGAGTTTAATGATTTAGTTAATCTTTTTTAAATTACTCATTAATTTTTCTGATCTTGTTGTCGTGGAAGATTGTCGTAAAGTAACTTCGGTCATTTCAAACATCAAACATCTATTCTGAGTGGAAAATGATGCAAAGCAAAGGAAAAGAGCTTTTCGTTTGTTTAGAGGAGGTTGAGCAATTCTGAAAAATTATTTGGCTCGAACATCAGAGGGAGCAATGAACAAATTTTGAGTAAACCGGTTCGCGGGTTTGAAAGTATAGAGAAAAGCTCAAGGGGAATGCAAAATCAGATAGAAAAGTAGATATGTCATGATTTTTCGTCCAGATTATAAAATCGTCTGCGTTTATTGTAAAAACCTTGCAAAAGATCTCCTCTGTATATAGAACTGGGTGTTTCCTTTACTCATTGTCCAAGTCAAGCATTTTTAACATAGCTTATCTCTAGGCAGTGTGTTCCAAAGTTATCCTCAAGTGTTCCAGAAAGCTCGATCTATTTAAACATCCCTGAATTTCTCTATTATTGACATATTTAATTTAATCTAAAAATCTTGCGTCCTATGAGACTAATTTCAAGATAATTTTTAATGAATTTGTTATTACAAGGATTAATATTGCAGGACAAGTAGTTTTCCTGACAGGGACATCCCAAGAAAGAGCATAACAGTTTTCTAAAAAGAGAGTTTCCACGTTCTCGATTATGGACATATATATTATGCTCTCGTTTTTACATTGACTCGAATTCTAGCACCGCCTATTCAAACCTGAATTATTTGGTAAATTTCTATCCTTTCTTTTCCTTCAGCTTGATGAATACAACAAGTACTTCTTAAATTATGTACTGGACTCATCTTTGCAATTCTGCGACTTTGGAAGGTAAATATATTTTCCTGTTTTTCATGCAACGGTTTTGAATGCATCATAGACGTTTAAAGGTTTGTTTCGGAGACATCTTCGTGAGCGACATGATACACCCTACCCGTGGTACTTGAACGAAAACCATTTATTTGTATGTCTTTATTTGATGCTTTCGTTTGCTTCATTTTAATCACGTTCAATTCTCCAGTTCATGCAAATGTTTCCAAAGTGATTTGATTGAACTTGTTTTCAATTGTCAACCAAAATTGATATTCCTTGGCCTACAAGACTTCTTGATTGCAAATGTCAAAGCAATACTGTAGTGACGTCATCTTATAATGCATTTTTCTTTTGCGGTCATCAAAATGGTTTATATGGATAAGAAATGTATTTTTCGAAAATCTAACATACTTGTCGAAAACTAATGATTTTAGCCAACTAAAAATTTAGTCTTTAATTGTTAAATGCTGCCTGTCCGAGTAGTCACCTATCGCATTAAAAAGTAATAGCTCCAACTGTAATCTAACTGACCTTTGCTGAAAAATAATCTGAAAATAAATGGTTTTGTAGTCAAGACTTAATTCAGTCTAATTCGATTAAAGTTCTTTGCGTCTAAAATTTCTGAAGCCGCTTTCATTAAGAAAAGAGAATAACTTCACTGTTGTATAAAGAAGATCAAATCCTTTTATTGCAAAAAAACAGATAAATGAAAAACTCTTATTAGCAGGGCAGTTAAATTGCCGTTAAGAGTATGGATATAATGCAAGAAATATATTTTGTCTATAAAGTCAATAACAGCAAAAACAAAATGCAGAAACTTGAATGTTTAGTAGAGTAAATTTTTAATATTATTTTTGTCTGAAAAAGACGGGAAATGTTTGAAGAAGTTAATCGTCTAAGATAGAATTATGTTCACTTTTTATATGTTTTTGGCATTAGTCCGTAGCGAACTATCTGAAAATTTCTGTATGTCTTTGAAGTAAGAAGAAGGGTGAAAAGGTTGGGCAAATCTCTATTTGTTGTTCTGCCCATGAGTAACATAGTGAATAGTGTTTGTTCTTGTTCAGCCTCATCTAAACGAATAATTTTTTCTTGAACTTAAAATTGTTGTTTGCTCGTGTCAAGTTTGCTCGTGTTGCTTGGCAAATTTTTACGTGATAAGTGTACATGTTCAAAAACTGACATGCCAGTTTTTGAGCAAGAACTAGTTTTACAGAGATGCCCACATCGATACCTGGATTCGTCGTTCAGTTCTCCAACCAAGTTGCTTGCTGACCCTTGAGCTTGTCCGCGATGATGGCTTGTCTATCACCGAACCCATTTTTATCTTTTATCTTCTGAGTGTTTTTCTTTCAATTGTGATCCACGGATTACAATAAAACATGATTTATTAGGCTTGGTAAAGTTTTGTGAAATTCTCGAAAGATTAAATTACTGATCTTAGAATCTTTTGGAGTACAGAAAGGGGTCATACAATCCCACTTCTGAGATAAGAGACAAAAATTCTTTTTTTTATTTATATATGTCTAGAATCAGCTGTCACTTTAGTTAAAAAGTAAATCGTTGCTAAAACTGACCAAATAAATCCTCAAATATCATTGATAACTTCATGTTTGAATTTTTTATTAGTTAAGTAATATTTAGGTTTTTTTGCATCAAAATTAAACAAAACTCCATCAAATTAGATCCGTACTTATTTTACGAAACAGTAATAACAATCTTTTGGTGGTACAAAACTTGAAAATGGCTTTGAAAAAAGCAAACATTTGAGTCAACTAAAGCTTTTCGTCTGACACTCTTTAGCGTTCAGAACGTCAGAACATAGATCGAAAGGTCTACGTTAGGAAATATATATACCCAGTTGTGGATCGAAATAGGCCAATCAGAAGCGCGAGCACATGACTGTTGAGGTTGACAAATCAGTGCCGCTTGCCTATTGAGAATGTTACCAATGGAGTCCTAAGGTGAAAACGAACTCCTTTTGTCTACACAATAGGAGGTTTTTTCGTGCTTATGTAGATAGATTCCAAAACTGCTAGATGGAACGATGATCGGGCTTTACCAATAATCCGAAACATGTCGCCATTATAGACATTTGCACAATCTGGGTTTTTCAGTAAATCCTGCCCGATAGCGGAATTGCATGTTTTAGTTGTACTTTTAGATCTGCAGAACCGAGGTGGCTGTTCTCTTTGGGGATGAGTTTTGTTTCTGATACTGGACGGAACATGTTTGCTTTTTTCAAAGTCACGTTTAAAGGCTAGGAAAATATCATACAATAGACATGCTGCCCGATAGCAGAATCGCATTTTTTTGTACAATGTGGTTTATTTATCCAGCTTCTGCTGATTAATTGCCCTTATTCTTTTGAAGATTCAAGCCATCACTCATTGCTGCTGCTGCGACAATGCTTACAAATATTGTAAATGGGTCAGGTAATTGCCTCTCTGTTCGTCTTGGCGATTTTATCTGATGGTTTTCTATCTTACCATTATTTCTAATCATTTCTATTTAATTTGAATTTATTCCCATATTTCCACCATCGCAGAGAGAGTTTTCATTACAGGCGCTTGTAACAGAAATCGCTGATAATGGCTGCCTTAGATAAGCCTTTATAATCATAAAACGTTTTTAGGGGCATCCCCTTATTACATATGAACGGTGTAGGGAGTTCCATGGAAGCTGAAAAACCCGAAAAGGGGTGCCTAGAGGTTGAGAATGAAATTCGCATACTTTTTAATTATGCACTTTCATTCAACAATCAAGGGGTGAAAGTTTATCTGGAGATAATAATATGATGATAATGTTTAGACAGGGTAACCTCTTCAACACACGGAGTCCTGTTATCAATGAGGGCCCTGATCGCATCGCAGATAATCAGCGCATTTCAGTATTATCCTTCAACCTTAGCCTAAAAGTTCGCGCAACTTCTTCATAAGGTTGTGCACGGGGAAGATTTCTTGGAAATCAGAATCTGGGCTTAGCGAGTGCGACCAGGGCCTTCTTGAAATATTTTAGCGTGATTTGTTGGAGATACAAGGAAAGTTTTCTCCCTAACTAAGAGTATCTAATTGTGTAAAAAGGCCATGTCGCATGTTATGTTATGTGAATAAAAGCTAATGAAAGACATTTGCCCTCTCTCTGGCTCCCTGCAAAGGACTGCATCATTATACCAGTTATCCTGGGAAGATACTGTTTCTGTGACGTCATTTGCGACATTGTTGTTGTGACGTTGTTTACCTTGCTTTTTACTTCTTGCATTCGTCCCTCCCTTTCTCTTTGTGGTTTTAGGCCTTTTTCCTGCTAGGTTTTTCCTATTGTCGTGAATAGGATAAGCTTGAGCCCTCTAACTGCAGGTAACTCTTCTTTTATTAGCTGATATCTGGCCTGATTACATGATGGAATTCACTGGTTATCAAGTTAAGGATCTTGCCAACTGTGTTGGACTTTTGCTTTCAAGATGGTAAATATGCATCTCCTTGTAAATCTCCAACCTGTAATCATCATTACTGCATTTTTGTTTTTCATTCGCGATGTTATTTTTGATATTCTTTCAAAAGGGCAAATAATTACTCTATAAGATAGATCAAATTTTTCCAATGCTTAAATTCTTAGTTAGTTCTTGCTTTAATTCAAACATGTTTCGGTCCCCCAACAAAAGTCCGGATGACCTAACATCAACTTTTTATTCGCAACCTTATAACTATCTAAAGATTCGTTTTACCGTTTGCCGAGATCATACTCTCTGCTGCTCCGTCATTTTGTTTCAAAACATTACAATGATCTTTATTATTTAGTCTGTTGGATAAGTCTGTGGTTGTTGATGGGGAGCATCAAATTTCTGGTGCAAGAGATAGGTGAGTGTGCGCGTTATTTGGTCCAGTTTAATAACTCAACCACATTTAACCTCTATAAAAAGCGTTAAATACTCATTGCTAGCAATGAGCCATTGCGCTACGCAAGCATCCCATAATGCATTTTCAGACAGTCCGAAATCAATTATGGTTAATCAGTAGAAGTTTACTGCCATTGTTTGGATGGTCGCCTGGATAATTTGCCACCCTCGCAAAGGCTCATTGTTAGCAATGAGTCTTTAAATAGCTTCCTTGTCATAAATGCAAGGTCCTCTTTATTTTTAGCCGAGTAGATATGAACCTAATTTTCTTCTTAACTACAAGGAGATGATAGCATATCTTAACTGCCCTTTCCCTTTATCTTAAACCAAGTTTGTTACGAACTTTATTGTTGTTAGTGTTATCTGTACGCTCGAAGAGTTTTCAAATTAGAATCGAAGTGCCAAGGAAGAACACTTCCACTGCTAATTCGGTATCACAAACCAACAAACATTTAGTGGTACGTTCATCTGAAAACGTTATACAAGGATAGTCATTGATTAAGCTTCTATTACCATGAATTATAGTGAGGAGATCTTTGGAAACATCCTCAAGAATTCTTTCTTTGCAAGTGTATAAAAAATTTCGCAGTTTGCAATCCTCCAATGATTTATGATTTAGTTAATCTGAATTGATAAACGTTTTTTGTTTCTCAAAGACTAAGTGTCGTAAACAGTGCTGTTTTCCTTGAAATATCTGAACATGTTGAATTTCGAATCAAGTCTTTATCATATTTATGACATCAATTTAAAGGGTTATTAAGAACCTAATTATATTTATATGATGGTTAACAAATCAGATGATGAAATTATTAATATTATTCAGTGCAACGAGCCTCTTTATAATTCATTTCAGAGTAAGAAACTCCTTGCCATGTATGTTGGTTACAAGCAGTTAAAGACCTACAGATTTGCCTAAAGTTTCAGGATTCGAGAAATTTGGTTTAAGCCAGGCTGGATTAATCAATCTGTTAACCTAGGAAGTCATTGTCTCCAGGCCGATAAGACCTTAAGCAATGATTTTATGAGGGAATAAAGCCATCTGCTATTTCTCAAACCATGAGTAATTTTCGGTCTGTACAAGATTTATCCTGTGGATTAGTGTACCCCGCACAGCATCCACTCTCGCTTTGAATCCTGAAGATGGCAGTGTGATATTGTAGTGTAGGACATGTCATTTTCCATCTACCAATCAGTTCCTTGCAGTTGAGTTTACCTAAGCCATAATTTTCCGTGGCTAGAAGTTACGAAACTTCTGAGATGATCCAAAAATTTTCCGTGGTTTTTCAGTTTGAGAATAACGAGAACGAATTATTCTTGACATTATATTTTCAAACATCGTTGTTTGTGGCCTATATGCAGACTGTTTGACTTCTCTTTGGAAGCGTCTGCTCGCAAACCACAAATGAAAACATTGTTTGGGCATTATAAAAGTGTCTGGTGTTTGTTGCACTAGGCCTTAACTCGAAATCGCGAATCTCAAATCTGTATTTTTGCGTGATAAGTTCATTGTCGGTAAAAGCTTCTTGGCAAAACGTTAAATGCTTATTTTCAGAAAGTAGATTTTAAGGTGATTGGCCAATACCCATAGACGAGAAACCTGGATATCCCAAGAAGGAAATTTCACAGTACAAGTTGAGGCATGAAAATTACTTTATCAGCTTCTTTTTAATTTTATTCTAGGTACTCCAGTCCAAAGTTCATGGAAGTTGCAAAGCGACCCATACCGGACCTCACTGCTGTGCGTGCGTTTATCGAAGATCTTGAGCCAAGACTTTGTTGCACACAGGAAAACAACTTCTTGATTTTTCATTTTAAGGAAGAGAAAAACGTATTGGACCCAATAGGTAATTTTTCAGCTAGCAGTAGCTTTCTATGTGGTTACGACGGAGATGAGGAAGATAATCAGTCACAATCTACCGCCGATATTAGTCTGTTGAGCGTTAAAGACCAACATAGGCCATCGCTAGATGATTTCGTTCCAGAGGCCTTCTCCGAAGAGACAAACAAGTACAGTCCTAGAGAGAGTGACCTTGAATATGAATCTAGTCTTGGAGTTCGTAAAATAGAATCGGACGGTTGTGTATGTAGCCCTGTCAAAAAAGGTTTTTACGGAAGTGAAAACAAGGAAATCGCAATGGAAAAACTCTCCGCTGTCTTCAGCTCTGCCTGCTCATGTTCAGCGGCGGTGTCGAGTAAGTTACGCAACGCAGAGATAAGGAAAAGACCGCCAGTTGCTAAAGGCAAATACGCCATTCGCCTCAGATCATCAACCAAGAAAGGCAGGTCGACAGCAAACGAATTCGACGAGAACTCTGACCGTGAACGGCGTAAAAGGCCGGCAAATTGGCCTATGCTTAAGGGCACAGAGCTCAAGGGATCACTTAGGCCGAAAGTTGATCGCAAAAATGGGAGCAAAGAGCCTTGGAGGTATTAGAGAAAAGCTGCATTTGGAAAAATGGTGCAAATCATGTCCAGAAAGCATTCGTGCTTCAATGAACAAGTTAAGTTCTTTTCTAGCAAGAAAATGCAAGGCTTGGGACATAATCTGGTCTAAATTTTAATGATGTATTTTAAGCTAAACAAAAAAGGCAGAAAAATCTGTGCAAAAGAACTTTAAAAGACGCTCCGTTCAAATACATATTAGCACTGCTTTCTTCAAAGAAAATTTTTTATGTACATTTCTATTTCATCAATGAGCGAAAAAAACGTAAGCTCTTAGGAAGAAGCAGTTTTTACCTTACAAACATGTTAATTGTAAACAGTAATATATGTCTGTCTTTACTATAGTATAAGCTGAATAATGATTCGCCTGATCTGTAAATTATCATCTCAAAAAAAGATTGATATTTGTATCATTTGTAGTGTGCTTACTTTTGTTTGTTTGTAGTAGATGTTATTCGCTGCTTGTAAATCATTTGAGCAGTTTGTTTAACTACAATAGCTTTGCCTAGTCTTGTTGTCCTTCGATAGAAGTTGGAGTTGTTGCCATTTTTTAGGCGCAGTACAATAATCCCTAGAGATATGCCAGCCAGATGCGTTCACTAAAGATGTGCCAGGCGGATGTTTTCATAACTGAATTCCCTAATGACATTCCCTAGCGACTTTGCCAGAACGTTTCAACAGATGATTGAAACTCAATGTTCCCTTTATATTCGTGCAGGCGTCCAACTCAAGGCTTAAAAGTAGGCCCGTCTCTTTTGCAAGGGCTTCTCTCTTATTAAAAGAATCTCTGAGCCATCATTTGAAAAGGTTCCTGTCTCTGCAGACAGAGGAAGTTTCTGACGAACCCACTCCAAAGCTCTAAGGTTAGTGGAAATAGTTTTGAGAGCTCTAGAACACGTGCATTTATACTTCGTTGATTTTCGTCCACCCTACATCAAAACGGTATTGTCATTTCGTTCAGTGTTTCCCTTAGTGTTTTTATCTTATATCTTTTTAGCTACCTCGTCTTCTTCATTTTTAAGTCTATGGTTCATTTACTTGTAATAAATCGTCGCGGTCTCGCATCTGCATCAAGAAACTTTTTAGGTCCAAGTTTGGAAACTTTGTATATTTGTATATTGTTCATAGAAAAAGCTTGTTCTGCTTACTTCGCTTGAAATTTAAGTATCCTGTTTTTGTAAATTCATATTTATAATAAACCTATAACAACGTGAGCTAGTTTTCATCGTTTACTCGTTTCCCTCGAAGGAGCCAGTTTGGCAATAGGCCGAAGCTCAGCAGAAAGGCCTGCCCAATATAAGAGCTCGAATGGCATCCTTTCTCGTCCGTGAGGGCTACACTTTTGCTTGTCAAAATTTAATGTATAGTCTCTGTTGCTGAAAACGTTTTAACTTATTACAATATTTTTTCCTTTGTTGACATCCGTTCGTTCATCTGGCATGTGAGGAAGCAACCTGAGATTGCTTCTTAAAAAATTTCGAGAAAAGAAATGTTTTTTAAATTTAAGGTGTTTAATGGTCTCGGAGAGTGCTGTTGAGCTCTATTCTTTGAAAATGCGGGTATTGGTGTGCACAACTGTCCGTTTCCCAAAGGAACTAAGAAATTTTGAAGGGTGCTTGGGGGATCATCTCCATATTTTCTGTCAAAATGTTTGAATGAGATCTTGGTAGATAAACTTGCTTGGTCAAAATCATTGAATATCAGAATAAAATTATTCATTTACCGAGCTATCGTGCAATATTTGAGTCAAGTGAAAATGCTGAATAGAAAAGAAAGTACTTTAAATGGATATTAAAAATTGTGTGGGTAGGGTAAGGTGAAGTCGGAAGGGATTGAGCAGTGTATTGTATATTTTTAGATATGTTTTGACTGCTTATTTAATTTTATGCTAGTTTTTGTGTTATTTTGGAAGCATGGTCCATTGTGAACCAGAATTGCTCGATGGGTTATCATGCCTAAATAAATGAAATGAAATAACTGCAAAATATATTAAAGCGTTATTTATGTGGAGTATTCATAGGTGATAGTGTGAAGTATATTGTCCTCCTTCACAAATATAGCTGCAATTCTTCCTTATCTTTATTTATTATATAATACCGTTCCCAAAAACAGCCAATCGTCAATGACTCGAATTTAATCGCGAAATTGTTTCGGAATTATCAAAAGTACGAACTACCTACATAAAATAGGCTGAGGAATTTTTTCAGTAATAAAATTTGATCATCTTTTTATTGAAATGTTGGAGTTGCATGAAGGCTATAGAGTGGTATATTAATGACTGTATTTAAATACATTTTTGGAATTTTTAGATAGTGTAATCTGAATATGAAATGAAATAGCTTTACATGCGAGGAAGTAGTCGAATCTAACATAACACTTGCTCATACACCAAATAAAATATTTGTCAATTACTTTACTTTAGAGATAAATACTCCAAGAAATTATAATTATATTTAAGCCTTCCTGGATAGGTTTTCTGTCACCCTGTCCACTGAAGGCCATTTTTTGTAAAGGCTGTACAATGCCTGCCAAAAGTACTTGGAGCATCCAGCAATTTGCATTGCGTTTCACATCTATCATTTCTTTTCCAAAAAAATTACTACTTTCGCCCCTTTCCCCCCAGAACATGTTGATAATTTAAAGAACTATCATAAAAGAAGGGCAAAAGAATCATAGTAAACCAACATTGTTCTGTAGGGGAGAGGGGGATGATTGATTTTGGCCTTGGAAAATGACGTCAGTGTTCCAAGACTTTTGGCAGGCATTGTAGTTACCAAGGTGCCAGTCAAAAGACGGTATATCGACTTAGATATTGGAATTAATCAGTAGCACCATAATTATTGCCGAAAATGGAGCCCGTGTGCTTCATTATCAGTGGGTCCAGGAATAATCAATTCACCAATGAATCTGGATATTAGATTTTGAATCATCGAGGGTAAACGTTGTTTCATATATTTAAGGTCACCCATGAATTTTCAAACTTTTGAATGTTGCTACTGTTGAAAATAGTATCTGCTAATTTTATTGCGAAAATCTGGTTAAACGATTAAAAAACAAAGGGCTATGGAACGAGTTTGACCAAATTAATTAATTACCAAACCTCAGATTGATTAACTTTTCACGTTCAACAGAAATGTAAATTGTTATGTTTGCAAATAAAGAATAAGAAGGTGATTATGAAGGTGAGGTAAGGTGAGTCGGTTAATTTGAAATATTAAAGCCTCTTGCGCAACCGGCATGCTTTGCGACTATTATTCAAAAACTGGCCTGATATCGTACTCCATGAAAATACAAAACAAAGTCAATTTCTCCTCGCGTGAAAAGATAGCTACCGCTAAAACATGTCGGTTACTCGAGAGCCTAAGTACACAATGATGATTAACTTGAAGCTTTTTCACTTTGTGACATTTCAAATACACTGCGCAAAGCTGGGATGCATGATCAAAGATATAACTCTCGTTCCGGAATTCCAGGACAAGGCCTACCATAAGGAATTTGTGTCTCATGAGCGTGCGCAGTGAGACTGCTTGATCAGCGACAAATTCAAAATATCAAATAACAAAATATTCAAAATCTCGTTCCTTCATCGTTGACAAATGTATTTTATAAAAATTTTCTAAGCAAATGGCTAGAGATGAAAAAATGTCTCAGAAATCAAGTTGGGATTTTGAGCATGGCACCATTATTTCTTTTGTAGTGACCGTCATGTTTTCTGGCCTCTTATCTTTTCAATGCCAGGAATGATTCTCTTTTGGCAGCTTGTATGTAGGCCCATCTATGCTAGCTTTTTAATACTTTTGGAAATTTTAACACTTTTTTTTCTTAAAAATTCGTAAACACGAGGTGTTTAATCTTAACATTAGAGGTTTTCTCAAAAAATATGAGTTTGAATATTACTTCAAATATCAATCCGATGTGGAAAAGACGAGCTGTCTTGTAGCATTATTTTGCAAAAACTACCAACATTGCTAAATAGCTTGTATCTACAGCTATATTTATGTTCTTGCATTTACAGACAGAAAAGAGTGCTGTGCAAGATAGTCGTGGTAATACAGATGCTCAAATGACAGAACTTCATTGGCACGAAAAAATTTAATCTCTCCAAAAAATACATTTGAATTAGTATTTTCATTGCAAATAATACTCCTTAAACCTAGTCGCTTCCGTTGTCCCTGAATAGGAGATACCAATTTTACGAAGGATGGCTGTGCAGATGGCTATTTCTGGAAATATTTAGCAATTTAGGGTGAATTAACTTATTCAATGGAAAAAGTAGATCCCACTTGAGCCAGATGGCATCCTTCACATTCTAGTTTTTAACGCTATAAAAGTACATCGACGGTACACAATGATTTTTCCACTTGAATCTGGTGTCGGTTGAACCAGTGGGCTGGAGGGCTAAGCCCCCAAGTTGGAGAAAGAGCTATTGCTTGGTCATATTCTAGTCACAATTTGTAGCTTCCCCCCTTCCCCTTTGGGTTTCCTTTCCCAACATCCCTCCAGGACAGGGCGGTTGTTTTTGAGATCATTCGACAAAGATGTTAATATGGCTGTTAGTTATTGCTGATGGGAAGAATGAGTAAAAGTACATGAAAGCCGTGTACTAATGCGAAAAAAGTAAATGAATTTCGCCCTCATTATATTGATACTTTAACTTGATTTCCAGAAGGCAAACCCAGTTGTTTTCTTTGCTTTTTTTCATTTATTGAATTTTCAAAAAATTAAAAGGTTCAGAAATTTTCGCTTTAATGCTGTCTACGGCAATGAATGTTTTAGCCGTTTGATAAAAAAACCCAGCGAGTTTTTGATCTTCTAAACTTGGTCACTGTTGAGATAGTTCAGAATCCTTTTTTGTTGACTGAAATTTTAAAACTTTCATCGAATTGTCGAATAAACGCAACTTTTTCTGAGTTTTAGTGTGTGAAAGATAAAAATGCTAATAATTTAATTACAACGGTAGATATCTAGTAATTCTTCTTCTGCTATTTTGAACAAAATTTTGGAGAAATATTGGAATACAGTACAGACAGCTGGTGCTTCTCGAGTCCTTTAAGGTTTTCACTGCGACAAATTATGGATTTTGCGTGCATAATTTATTGTAATCGTGCATTCTTGCACAAGCGAAAAATTAATTATAATTAATAATTGGGTGCTGACTAGGTTATCTTCCCGATATGGCTCGGCAATACATATAAGAGCTGCTTTTCGGTACTTAAAATAAGGTTAAAGCCGCCAGTTTATTGAGAGGTCATAAGGATATCTTGCTTGACAATGAAACTATGAAAACAGGATCTAAGCCAGCGACTGTTTGCAAATAGGAACTCAAGCCCTTAAGAGATGAGCAGAACGTTTGGATTTCTTCTTCCATGTATTTCCGCCTTCATAAAAGTTTTATTGCAGACGGGGGGATGTAAGAATGGCTTTAAATACACCAACTTGTTGAGTCTTTAAACCACGTAATTTACCTGAAATTCACCATAACTGAAAATAAAAGAAAAAGTACAGAAAACAAGCGAGGCAAAGACTGTTTATGATGCAAGAGGAAGGCAATCTTTTGCGAAACATCTTTTGATTTTCCATTTTTCTGGAAAAGCTGAGTTATAAGGAAGTTGACAGCAGAAAAGTATTATAGCCGGGAGCATAATGCGATAAGGAGAAAAAAGGGCTCCATCTCTCTTTTGGTCAGAAGGCCAGTACTCTCAGGTTCTTTCTTAATACAACTTATTGATGGATATTCTTGGCTGGTCTTGTTGCCTCTTCAAGCGCTATTCCTGCTGGTCTTTCGTGGGGTAGTCGCATTAGATGTCCAAGCTTTGACAAACGTCTTTTTCTATCGCTTTTCTCCGCGGCTCAACCTCGGTCACTTTGTAGAGTTGTTCTCTTTATATGATTATTGGGTATAAAATATTCCGGGTATATCGGAGTTTTCTACGCGCAAAGCATTGATTTTGTTTTCCATGGCAAAGAATAAAATTAAATATGCAAGCCAAGCAAAAAACTGAATATGAAAACGAGGCTGTAATGATTATGGCGGGAGGTTCGAGTTATTAGAAGCTCTTCTCTGTTACAAGTCAATGACATAGAAAACAAGTGAAAAATGACATTTAAAGGTGCCAAAAAGCTTGTGCATGTGTTTGTGTTTGATCTAGAAACACATGGTCTTTCAGCAAAATCACCTGGGATCAGGACAAAGATAGGTAAAGTAAAGGACGCT